ACCCACAATCACCACCAACCTACCATCAACAACCACCACCAACCTACCATCAACAACCACCACCCACTACCATCAACAACCACCACCAACCTACCATCAACAACCACCACCCACTACCATCAACAACCACCACCAACCTACCATCAACAACCACCACCCACTACCATCAACAACCACCACCAACCTACCATCAACAACCACCACCCACTACCATCAACAACCACCACCCACTACCATCAACAACCACCACCAACCTACCATCAACAACCACCACCACTACCATCAACAACCACCACCAACCTACCATCAACAACCACCACCCACTACCATCAACAACCACCACCAACCTACCATCAACAACCACCACCCCACTACCATCAACAACCACCACCAACTACCATCACCAACAACAACCACCACCAACCTACCATCAACAACCACCACCCACCTACCATCAACAACCACCACCCACTACCATCAACAACCACCACCAACCTACCATCAACAACCACCACCCACCTACCATCAACAACCCCACCACCACAACAACCACACCAACCATCAACAACCACCACCAACCTACCATCAACAACCACCACCCACTACCATCAACAACCACCACCACTACCATCAACAACCACCACCCACTACCATCAACAACCACCACCAACCTACCATCAACAAACCACCACCCACTACCATCACAACCACCACCCACTACCATCAACAACCACCACCAACCTACCATCAACAACCACCACCCACTACCATCAACAACCACCACCAACCTACCATCAACAACCACCACCCACTACCATCAACAACCACCACCCACTACCATCAACAACCACCACCCACTACCATCAACAACCACCACCCACTACCATCAACAACCACCACCAACCTACCATCAACAACCACCACCCACTACCATCAACAACCACCACCAACCTACCATCAACAACCACCACCCACTACCATCAACAACCACCACCAACCTACCATCAACAACCACCACCAACCTACCATCAACAACCACCACCCACTACCATCAACAACCACCACCCACTACCATCAACAACCACCACCAACCTACCATCAACAACCACCACCCACTACCATCAACAACCACCACCAACCTCCCATCAACAACCACCACCCACTACCATCAACAACCACCACCAACCTACCATCAACAACCACCACCAACCTACCATAACAACCACCACCAACCTACCATAACAACCACCACCAACCTACCATCAACAACGACCACCCACTACCATCAACAACCACCACCCACTACCATCAACAACCACCACCCACTACCATCAACAACCACCACCCACTACCATCAACAACCACCACCAACCTACCATCAACAACCACCACCCACTACCATCAACAACCACCACCCACTACCATCAACAACCACCACCAACCTACCATCAACAACCACCACCAACCTATCCAACAACCACCACCCACTACCATCAACAACCACCACCCACTACCATCAACAACCACCACCCACTACCATCAACAACCACCACCAACCTACCATCAACAACCACCACCAACCTACCATCAACAACCACCACCCACTACCATCAACAACCACCACCCACTACCATCAACAACCACCACCAACCTACCATCAACAACCACCACCCACTACCATCAACAACCACCACCAACCTACCATCAACAACCACCACCAACCTACCATCAACAACCACCACCCACTACCATCAACAACCACCACCAACTACCATCAACAACCACCACCAACTACCATCAACAACCACCACCCCACTACCATCAACAACCACCACCAACCTACCATCAACAACCACCACCCACTACCATCAACAACCACCACCCACTACCATCAACAACCACCACCAACCTACCATCAACAACCACCACCCACTACCATCAACAACCACCACCCACTACCATCAACAACCACCACCCACTACCATCAACAACCACCACCCACTACCATCAACAACCACCACCCACTACCACAACACCAAACTACCCTGTTAGAAAGACCACCAGAGAGAGAAAAAATGCATAAATTTACGTCATATTGAAAAGTTTTCACGGTTTTCTCTCGTAAGTGAAGAGCAAGACTTTCACCGGATTAATTTCCTTCGCCAAAGAGTATAATGATTAATTCAGGTGATCTTAGTCAAGATTATTGTTATTACTCTTATGATTAATGTAATTTTTGTTTATAATTCATATTTGATCATTACTACGATTATTCAAAAGTAGTGCTAATCTCACCTGCGCACTAATAAACCTGCGCACTAACTCACCTGCGCACTAACCAACCTGCGCACTAACTAACCTGCGCACTAACCAACCTGCGCACTAACCAACCTGCGCACTAACTCACCTGCGCACTAACTAACCTGCGCACTAACCAACCTGCGCACTAACCAACCTGCGCACTAACCAACCTGCGCACTAACTCACCTGCGCACTAACTAACCTGCGCACTAACTAACCTGCGCACTAACTAACCTGCGCACTAACTAACCTGCGCACTAACTAACCTGCGCACTAACCTGCGCACTAACTAACCTGCGCACTAACTCACCTGCGCACACAGTTCCTGAGTCTCGAGTGATCCGTCCCTAGATTCCGGCGTGTTCAGTTCGTCGTCCGCGTCTTCGGCTTCGTCTAGCGAGGCCTTGGTTGACGGCGAAGGAGGGACTGAAACGTGGCAACACTCCAAATTTAATTTAGAACACTAACGTTATGTGGCAACACTGTATACAGGATACCAGTAATATCTTACACAGTTGCATATGTCAATGATCTGGTGTATGGTAAACCTGATATGTGTGTAAACCAGGTAGACTACTGGATATGTAGCACACATGTGGCACATCATATGTGGAATAAGGCACATGTATATCACCTGAAATGGGGCATTTACCTGCACAACAGGTTTGGTCAATATCAGGAGAAAAAAGGGTTAGCTATATCGCACTTGGATATGTGGACAAGGAGCCGGGATAGGACAGAGGGAAGGAACGGTCTCCAAACACTTGAACCATTGGGAATCGAACGCCGACCTGCAAGACAAAAGGCCGTCGCCGTCTAAGGGCTTGGTACTATACGTCAGATAGACCTGGAAATGTGCCGTCAACGTCTACTACTGGATAAATAGGCTAGGAAATGTTGCATCAATATATACATTAAATGTGACATCAGTGTATGGTGTTATTTGTTAGAATACTACTTAGAATACTGTGCTGGAACTTAGTATACTCTGGAACTTAGAATACTGAGCTGGAACTTAGTATACTCTGGAACTTAGAATACCGTGCTGGAACTTAGTATACTCTGGAACTTAGAATACTGTGCTGGAACTTAGAATACCGTGCTGGAACTTAGAATACTGTGCTGGAATTTAGAATACTGTGTTGGAACTTAGAATGCTGTGCTGGAACTTAGAATACTGTGCTGGAACTTAGAATACTGTGCTGGAATTTAGAATACTGTGCTGGAACTTAGTATACTGTGCTGGAACTTAGAATACTGTGCTGGAACTTAGTATACTGTGCTGGAACTTAGAATACTGTGCTGGAACTTAGAATACTGTGTTGTAACTCAGTATACTGTGCTAGAACTTAGAATACTGTGCTGGAACTTAGAATATGAGGTGGAATTTAGTATACTGTGCTGGAACTTAGAATACTGAGGTGGAATTTAGAATACTGAGGTGGAACTTAGAATACCGTGCTGGAACTTAGTATACTCTGGAACTTAGAATACTGTGCTGGAACTTAGAATACTGTGCTGGAACTTAGAATACTGAGGTGGAACTTAGAATACTGAGGTGGAACTTAGAATACTGTGCTGGAACTTAGAATATTGTGCTGGAACTTAGAATACTGAGGTGGAACTTAGTATACTGTGCTGGAACTTAGAATACTGAGGTGGAACTTAGAATACTGAGGTGGAACTTAGAATACTGTGCTGGAACTTAGAATACTGAGGTGGAACTTAGAATACTGAGGTGGAACTTAGAATACTGTGCTGGAACTTAGAATACTGAGGTGGAACTTAGAATACTGAGGTGGAACTTAGAATACTGTGCTGGAACTTAGAATATTGTGCTGGAACCTAGAATACTGTGCTGGAACTTAGTATACTGTGCTGGAACTTAGAATACTGTGCTGGAACTTAGAATACTCTGGAACTTAGAATACTGTGCTGGAACTTAGAATACTGTGCTGGAACTTAGAATACTGAGGTGGAACTTAGAATACTGTGCTGGAACTTAGTATACCGTGCTGGAACTTAGTATACTGTGTTGGAGCTTAGTATACTGTGCTGGAACTTAGTATACTCTGGAACTTAGAATACTGTGCTGGAACTTAGAATACTGTGCTGGAACTTAGTATACTCTGCTTGAACTAACAGATGCGAGAACTCTCTGATAATCCCAAGAGGCAAGAATGCTGCCCATTCGAAAACTTTATTAATATCAGCTAGTAGTTTTTCAGTGTCTTCTACAGAAGTAACCTTTGTTCTTCCTGTCATCTGCAAGAGATGACAGGAAGCTGTGACTTGTATTTTGGTCTATATCTGCTATGAGAATGTTGTAAAGCAGGAGCGGAAGGATCTGTGTTGTTAGGTACATAGATTTTAACTGTGCCTGACCTCGATTGATCTCTTTGTGTTCTGTTTGACAGAAAATTAAATATACATTGGCCTACTTTACCTGTTATTCTTACTAACATCATTTTGAGGTTCCTCACTTTATGGTGACATTTATTTTTTATTTTATTATTTGTTGGTTGTCAGAATTATTTCAGGGGAATTGGTGATATTTCGGTTGAACAATGATAAGAGACTATGGTTGTTTCTGATTGTCTAACGACTTACAGTCGAGAGACTAGCATTAAAACGACCTCATTTATCTGCCTCAACATTGTTTGCACCCCCCAATCCTTTCCTTTTCCTCTCCACCTCTTCCCTTTCGTTCTGACACATATAATTAGGTTTCCCTTCTCAATACCCTCTTTGAAGTTTTCACAGTAAATGCTGTTGGGTATGTGCCCAACGTGGTCGGGTTTGTCACCATACAGAAGACCTTAACATCAATACCCTCTTCGTCTCCACTTTGCTTCTTCGCTTTTATCCTTGACTGGCCACTCGAACACCAACCCTTTCCTCGTGTCTCTGTTTACTACCACTTTCTTCCCTAAATATCCCCCTCCCCGCCACTCCCCTACCTATTCCTCCCCCACCTTACCTATCCCAGAGAGCCACAACCTCCCCACATGGGTTTGTTTACCTTCGTCCTCGACTCTCAATTTGTTATTGTCGACGCCCTCGTCCAGATCCCCGCGCTGGCGCCGGCATCGGGACCGCGTGGCCACCGCCAACACCGTCAGGATGAAGACGAAGCCACTCACCACACCCACGAACACAGCCAGCAGCGGGGAAGACTCAGTGGAGCTTGAGTCGTCTAAAAAGGAGCAGTAATGGCATCATTTACATGAACAATATATATATAATTTGTTACATTCTTACTCCCTCTCATCCCCCTCATTCCTAATGGTATTGTGGGCTCATGTATACTCGTGTCTTTGGGGGATGAGATCTAGCTCCTGAGCCCCGCCTTATGGCTTTGTTGTAGACGATCTCGTAGTAATTCGTAGTTCATGAACTGTGATGATTGACGAATAGATGTAGAGGTTTCGTAAGTGCAGACGTAAATGTTTGACGAAGCCTGTGCCCAGGACTAAAGTAATATATATATATATATATATATATATATATATATATATACTGAGAAGAAAGGTATATCATTAGTGTTTATATAATGTTCATCATAGCTAAAGTTTCAAGTGCAGTTTTACCTCTAAATGTTCCAGTAAACTGTCGTACCAACTCATGAACCTATTAATGGAGTTTACCTCCACGAGTACCTAGTAATAAAGCTGTGAATGGAGTTTACCTCCAAGTGTGCCTGAGGCTCGATTCATCTCTTTACTGACACTAATGAGTGAGGATATTGTCTTACATCCCTGGCTCATTAGTCTTCATGTTTTAAATAAATGGATATAGCTAGACAATTATTTTTTTCTCGTGTGTGTGTGTGTGTGTGTGTGTGTGTGTGTGTGTGTGTGTGTGTGTGTGTGTGTGTGTGTGTGTGTGTGTGTACTCACCTAGTTGTGTTTGCGGGGATTGAGCTCTGGCTCTTTGGTCCCGCCTCTCAACCGTCAATCAACAGGTGTACAGATTCATGAGCCTATCGGGCTCTGTCATATCTACACTTGAAACTGTGTATGGAGTCAGCCTCCACCACATCACTTCCTAATGCATTCCATTTGTCAACCACTCTGACACTAAAAAGTTCTTTCTAATATCTCTGTGGCTCATTTGGGCACTCAGTTTCCACCTGTGTCCCCTTGTTCGTGTTCCCTTGTGTTAAATAGACTGTCTTTATCTACCCTATGAATTCCCTTCAGAATCTTGAATGTGGTGATCATGTCCCCCCTAACTAGTGTGTGTGTGTGTGTGTGTGTGTGTGTGTGTGTGTGTTCGTGTGTGTGTGTTCGTGTGTATCTGTATGTCCCCTTTTTGTAAATATGTACACACACACGTATATACGGGTAAACGAAGACACGAACAATAGACTTTGCAATATTCGTGGATATGCATAAAAGGAGTGATTAATTGGATAAATAATTTAATGAAATCAATAAAGATTTCCCAGCATTCTCTTCCTTATGGAGAATTGTCTCCATAACACAATCCCAGGAGGTTCAACGTACACTTTTCTGAATGAAACTCACCATAATCAGCTGGTCATTGTTTACATAACACTCTAATGACGTAGAACCACGTGGTCCAAAACCGATTTGAAAAGATAAACAAAAATAAACCTTTCAATTCACGAGATTCGATTATTATTAAAATTGAGATTTTTTTAAATATTTTATTTATGTAATTCAATGTTGGTTTTAGGTAATTGATAATCGAACGGAGGTCAGGAGACACTTATCCAAACATGTTTGTGTTTTGTGAGTTGAACTTGAGTGTGAGTGCGACTCGAGTGTTTATTTGTGTGATAAGCTCATCCTTGACAAGCGAGTGTGTGTATGTAAATGTCAAGGCAACGCTGAGTCAATAACAATAGTTAGTCCCGCCCACTCACCAACATGTATACGCTGCCACACATACATATGTATATGTTGCCACACGCTGGTGGCCAAAGAGTCATATATGTCTGTATGAAAACTGGACTGTTTTCTAAGAGAAGTTCCGGATCAGCCGGGCTGTGGTGGGTATGTGGCCCTGCGGGCTGCTCCAAGCAACAGCCTGGTGGACCAAACTCTCACAAGTCGAGCCTGGCCTCGGGCCGGGCTTGGGGAGTAGAATAACTCCTAGAACCCCTTCAACCAGGTATCAAGCAGGTGACAGAGCTCAACCCCCGCAAGCACAACTAGGTGACTACATGTCCATACGTACACGTTCCCATGTACCCATGAACGCACATATGTGCTTTTCCCTGCAACTACATGCTCACTCTCCATAACGACACATGTACACTCTCTCCCACACCCATATGTGCACTCAAACACACACGCACACATTAAACATGTTATCATGATCTGTCATGATATGTCATATCATGTCGAATATCATATTCTGATATATGTCAACGACCTGACAGAGGAAATTGGCTCCATCATATCAATGTTTGCAGATGATGCAACACTGATGAGACAAGTCAGGTCAGAGAAAGATTGTGTGGTATTTCAAACGGATTTGAATACACTCCTAAAGTGGTCTGAAAAAATGGCTGCTAGAGTTTAACCCAGCTAAATGCAATGTTATGAGGATTGGAGCAGGCGTGCGAAGGCCAGTGCAGCAGTATAAGATGAAAGGAAGATAGAAATATTCATTTCAGGAAAGGAGAAAGACCTGGGAGTGGACATAACCCCAAATCTGATGCCAGATTCCCACATCACAACAGCTGCATATGGCATACTGGCTAACATGTATCCTTCATAAATCTGGGCAAAGGAGCTTTCCAGCCCTATAATCAACGAAGGTGAGACCCACTCTTCAAAATGCATCGCCAGCAAAGAACCCTTACCTGAAAAAGGACAAGGAGAAACTAGAAAAAGTCCAAAGATATGCAACAAGACTCGTTCCTGAGCTGAAGGGCTTAAGATATGAGGAAAGATGGAAATAACTGGACCTTACCACACTGAAGGAAAGCAGAGATAGGAGGGGGGGAACATGGTTACAACATACAAGATTCTAAGTTAAATTGATAAGTTAGACAAAGCAGCGTTGATCAAAGGCAGTAACAGCAGAACGAGGGATCATAGATGGAAACTAGAGACGCAAATAAGTCACAGGGACGTTAGAAAGAACTTTTTAAGTGTCAGAGAATTCAATACGTGGAACAGGTTAGACGTTAAAGTCGATGAAACTATTTAGTTTCAAAGTTTTAAATGTAAATATGATCAAAGCGTGAGAAATGAGTCATTGCATTAATCTAAGAACGTTCTGAAGGCGAGGCTAAGAGCCTAACTCGACCCTGGAAGCACATATAGGTGAGGACACCCACACAAACACTCACACCCAAACGCTTAAACGCGTAATACATTAACTCACATACAACGCTATACAAAATCACAATATATTCAAAGGGCCGCACCCAAGCCTCCACATAGAAAAACATACAGCAAGCTTCACACACACACACACACACACACACACACACACACACACACACACACACACACACACACACACACACACACACCCTTACACAAACACAAAAACAATAAAGACACGTAAACACACTTACCCAAAAACACCTACACAAACGTCTAAAGACCAACAACAACACAAACAGAAGCATCAACGCCCACACATTAACCCCTGCACACAAACACCCCACACTCATAAACCCACACAAACCTCCCCCCTCCACCTATAAACCACACACAAACACCCAAACTAAAAACAAACAAACCCCCACACCCATAAACACACACAAACAGCAACAAACACCAAAAAAAAACACACACACACACAAGGGCACTCACTGATTTTATTCTCAGCCACTTTGAGAGCGAAGTCCTGAATGACGTAAGGGGTGGAACTGCCCTTAAGGTTAACAGCCGTCACCAGCAGGAGGTAGTCGCGCCCTGGGGCCAGCCCCCCAACCACGAAGGTAGGCTTGGCTGACGAGACGTTGGCCACGACCTCCTGCGTAGCTGCGTCTCGAACCTAAGACGTAAAAATAGGACGTAAAAAGACGTAAAAAAATCACATATAAATAACCTGTCAAAATTTCCGGTTTAGTGAAAAATAATTGAACTGTGATGTTGTTTTCTCTGACAAGCTTTAAATTTGGCACTTTATTTGGCACTGATGCAAATTTGACAGTTTAAAACGGGTTGTTAAGAGGTCAACGGGTTGTTGACCTCTCAGAGGTCAAAGATCGTGGTCATGCCAGCAGTGTCCACGGAAATTTAGGGGCAGTGTTCTAAGGTCAAAGGGCATCAGTAGAGGAATGAGCCCAGGTCAGGTGTTGGGGGTTGAGAAGATGGGGTCCAGGTGGGAGGGAGAGAGAGAGAGAGGGAGAGAAGGCAATATGGAGGATGGGTGGGAGGGAAGGAAGAGATAGGTAGAAGGATAGTGGGAAGGAAGGGTTTCACACACACACACACACACACACACACACACACACACACACACACACACACACACACACACACCACACACACCACACACACACACACACTGGTATATGTAAATGATCTCCCAGAGGGTATAGATTCGTTCCTCTCAATGTTTGCCGACGATGCAAAAATTATGAGGAGGATTGAAACAGAGGATGATAGTAGGAGGCTACAAGATGACCTGGATAGACTGAGTGAATGGTCCAACAAATGGCTGTTGAAGTTCAACCCGAGTAAATGCAAAGTAATGAAACTAGGCAGTGGAAACAGGAGGCCAGGCACAGGATACAGAATAGGAGATGAAGTACTTAATGAAACAGACAGAGAGAAAGATCTAGGAGTTGATATCACACCAAACCTGTCTCCTGAAGCCCACATAAAGAGAATAACGTCTGCGGCATATGCGAGGCTGGCTAACATCAGAACGGCGTTCAGGAACCTGTGTAAGGAATCATTCAGAATCTTGTACACCACATATGTAAGACCAATCCTGGAGTATGCGGCCCCAGCATGGAGCCCGTACCTTGTCAAGCACAAGACGAAGCTGGAAAAAGTCCAAAGGTATGCTACTAGACTAGTCCCAGAACTAAGAGGCATGAGTTATGAGGAAAGGCTGCGGGAAATGCACCTCACGACACTGGAAGACAGAAGAGTAAGGGGGGACATGATCACAACCTACAAAATCCTCAGGGGAATCGACCGGGTAAACAAGGACGAACTTTTCAACACTGGTGGGACGCGAACAAGGGGACACAGGTGGAAGCTGAGTACCCAAATGAGCCACAGAGACGTTAGAAAGAACTTTTTCAGTGTCAGAGTAGTTAGCAAATGGAATGCATTAGGAAGTGATGTGGTGGAGGCTGACTCCATTCACAGTTTCAAATGTAGATATGATAGAGCCCAATAGGCTCAGGAATCTGTACACCAGTTGATTGACGGTTGAGAGGCGGGACCAAAGAGCCAGAGCTCAACTCCCGAAAGCACAATTAGGTAAGTACACTCCCACACTCTCTCAAATCTGAGAGAGAGAGAGAATCTGGTGTACAGGTTCTCAGGAATCTGTACACCAGTTTATTGACAGTTGAGAGGCGGAGCCAAAGAGCCAAAGCTCAACCCCCGCCTGCACAACTAGGCGAGTACACCTTTCATTATTGAACACTTATTAAAATGATCGATACATTGTATTGACATTGACATTGACATTGACATTGTAGGGAGTACGATACAAAGTATCCAGATGGGAGAGGTAGGGAAAGGAAGAGGAACTATGGGAAGGGAAAATGGGAAGGGTGAATGAGAGTGAAAGGGTTAACGAAGATTCTCTTCGTGCAAAGTAATCGTTCGATCTCCGATCTTCCGAAAGGTTAGGCACTGTTCCCTTACACCTTGTCCTCAAAACGTCAACTCCTTGTCCTACCAATGTGTCTTTTTCCCTCCACAGTCACCTCTCTTGCTTTCGCTTCTACCTCACTTTCGCTCGCTCCTGTCCCTCTCTCTCTCTATCTCACCGTTGTAACACTAACTCACCGTTGTAACAAAGTGTTGCTTGAGACCACCGTCGTGCCCAGGCGTACAGGAGATAGCCAGGGAGGTGACGCTCTGATTCACCATGGAACAGGAACTAGGTTCTTCAGGAGGTCCTAAAGAAACAAGAAATAAACTCGTATTAAAAGGTCATATGCATTCAGAAAGTTGTATTTATCTTTAACTGGTAAAGCAACTTGAGTCGTCGTTTGATAACAAACCATAATGACGTTAGTTTTGATGGTTCTGTGTAATGATTGTTTAACGATGATTTGGGAACGTTATTTTCAAAGAGGCTTGAATTTCCTTCACTCGGGAGATTGTGGTGTGTTTAACGAGTGTATCGTCACGGGTGACGTAGTTTTCGGTCAACCAATCACGATCGTTTGTTTTGGTTTTATCATTAATTCGTCTCGAATGACGTAGGTCTCTGTCAGCCAATGGGAATAGCGCGTTTAAGGTATTTCAAACAATTCTCACAATATTGTCACGAGAATTTCATGGGTCAGGTAAAAAAAAAAGACTCTTTATTGTTCCCTACAAGGAGCATTTTAATATTAATTGAAACATTATTGTTTTTATTGAGAGTTAATTACGTGATTCGATATCTCCACTTTTTGCAATTATCTAGTGACATTATGACGTCATTAGGATGTTACATTGGAGTCAGCTGATTGGTAATGTTTACGTTATCAGCTGATTTGTAACGTTGTCGTTACCAGCGGATTCGTAACGTTTTTGGTGATTTTTAGAATGTTCTCTGGATAAAATCAAGAAGAACTAATTTATAGAAAAATAATCGATGAATTTCGCGATTTTGTTTTTCTTCAGATATGAGCTAATAGATTTGTAAACTCTTTTAAACACGGAGATTATTATATGCGGAGTTCACTACAGGCAGAGATCACTACAGGCGGATATCATTACATTTTTAGGTCATTAAAAGCTCGTATCAAACGTGTCGTTATCTACCAGTTACCGTTAACAGTGTTTTTAATTAACATTATCGTATTTTTCGCAGAAAACAGAAATTGGAATTGTTTTGGTAACTGACTTATAAAACTCAGATGGAACTTAACTGAAGGTTTTGTGAGTATTTCAAGTAATAACGTAAACTATCGTGATTGGTTGATCTGCATCACTCGTTGTGATTCACAATCGTGACGATTGTGCAATGTTGACCAGACCACACACTAGAAGGTGAAGGGACGACGACGTTTCGGTCCGTCCTGGACCATTCTCAAGTCGATTGTGAGAATGTCAAGTCGACAATCGACTTGAGAATGGTCCAGGACGGACCGAAACGTCGTCGTCCCTTCAACTTCTAGTGTGTGGTCTGGTCAACATACTTCAGCCACGTTATTGTGGCTCATCGTCTGCGATTGTGCAATTATTGTTCTATACAATATCGAGAGCGCAGGAAATTCAGACCACGAAAATTAGTATCACTAAAGTATTTAGTGATACTAATTTTAGTACCACTGAAGTTTAGTCCTACTAATGCCTTAGTATAACTAAACAGAGACTTTAGCTCTCTTAAAATAATAATTACAGCAGATCATTACCAAAGGACGATTGATTATAGTTTTTAATTATAGATCTCAAGACTCAGATTGTAGCCTCTAGAGAACACAACGATTGGGCAATCAGCGCTTATTGTCTTAATCAGAGGGAAGGTAAGGGAACTATCAGAGGGGAAAGCGCAAAGCCATTACGACTATATATCACTTCGAAGGAGTCAGGATATTGATTTAGAATGGAACAGGGAGGGGGGGGGGAGGAATGGTGCCCAACCACTTGTGGACCGTCGGGGATTGAACGCCGACCAGCAGGAATTAATCAGAGGGAGCAGCCGACGAAAAGGTTTATCACATGATTATTACCGCTATAGGAAATCAAGATGTTTATCTCTCAAGAATGTTTGGTAATATGTTTATTGTTTGTGATGTGTTTATATGTATGTATTAACACGATGTACTGAACGGGGTGAGAATAGCTTGAGCTACCTCATCCCTTTGTGTGTATTTTACCTTAATAAATTTATTTCAGTTTCAATTTCAATTACCGCTACTTTTACCTGAGTGTGTCATCGTAGGTGTCAAGGGGAGATAGAACGAAAACAAGATGTCAAGATTGTCAAGGAAAACGGTCAAAATACCTAATTCTTTGAGGCGCTGGGAGCACCTTCACCCTTGACCTTTGACAGTGATAAGTGCCTCGCAGTAGGGAGTGATAATGGAAGGACAAGCTACACCTGCCAGGGTCCTAGAGGTGATAAAACGGTTACACACCTGAGGGAGGGGAGGACACACCTGTGGGAGGGGAGGACACACCTGTGGGAGGGGAGGACACACCTGTGGGAGGGGAGGACACACCTGTGGGAGGAGAGAACACACCTGTGGCAGGGGATGACACACCTGTGGGAGGGGAGGACACACCTGTGGGAGGGGAGGACACACCTGTGGGAGGGGATGACACACCTGTGGGAGGGGAGGACACACCTGTGGGAGGGGAGGACACACCAGTGGGAGGGGAGGACACACCTGTAGGGCACACAGGGTGGAGGCGTCTCAGGAACTCTGATAGTGGTGGACATCACGAGTGCATCTGACAGTATTATTATTTAGAGCTCACAGAAATTCTGATTTTACAGTTGCATGTATGAGGAATTCAAATGGAATAGAGGGAGGGATAATTCCTGATCCTTTCCCTCATAATTTTCTGGAAGGAAAAGGGCTTCGCTGGGAACCGTGGAACGAGGAATTTTTTTTTTCTAACTAACTTCTTCAACTTGGTCTAGAAGTCAACCCGCAGACATATAAGTAGTTAAGCCGAGTGACAAATCTTATGATTTAAAACCACTTGAGAGATTCCTCAAAATGGATTAAGTTCGAACTACTCTCGAATAGTGTTTTGCTCTAATTCTGTGTTCGAATGGCTCATCTCTTAACTACCGCAGCACCATAATGCAAATACAAATTACTGACAACACTACCAAAACCCCCAAACCTCTCCTTGGCCTAATTATAACTACAATTTTAAAAAGCTAAAATTGGAGATAAACCCAATTTGAAAAACCTAAAATTGGAGATAAACCCAATTTTAATTAAAAAGCTAAAATTGGAGATAAACCCAATTTGAAAAACCTAAAATTGGAGATAAACCCAATTTTAAAAACCTAAAATTTGAGATAAACCCAATTTTGAAAACCTAAAATTGGAGATAAACCCAATTTTAAAAACCTAAAATTTCATACTTGGAGATATCGTTTATATTCACACTACGTTAAAATGACGAATGAGTCTTTGGATTCTACAACCAATTAGACCACCAAGGCCTGAGATCGTGTTTCGTGATGGTGATTCGTGGCCACACACCTCACTAACGACCCCCACACCCCCCCAAACACGGCGAGGGCTGAGGGCCTCAGCATGGAACGCAGGGGTAGGTTATCTTGAGGTTATCTTGAGATAATTTCGGGGCTTTTTAGTATCCCCGCGGCCCGGTCTTCGACCAGGCCTCCACCCCCAGGAAGCAGCCCGTGACAGCTAACACCCAGGTACCTATTTTACTGCTAGGTAACAGGGGCATAGGGTGAAAGAAACTCTGCCCATTGTTTCTCGCCGGCGCCTGGGATCGAACCCAGGACCACAGGATCACGAGTCCAACGTGCTGTCCGCTCGGCCGACCGGCTCCCCAATTCACCTGTTTCGGGGTGCTGGATTCACCTGTTAGTCCAAAACAATTAGCTGCCTTCCCACGTTAATGATGCTGGTGAGTTATTATTATTACTTCATCAATTTGAATCCAAATGATTTGTCTATCTGAATAATTACTAGAAAGATTTTTTTTTCTGTACTTAATAAGGAATTATTTTTATAATTACGTAGTTATACAATTATATTTTCCAACTGTACTTTTCATAATACAAAAATGACTTAAATTGTAAGTATTTTTTACATGTAAAAGTTTTTGAAGAAAGAATTTCTTTCACTACCCATCATGTATAAAACTTAAAAAAAAAAAATAAACAATGTTAACAGAGTTAGAAATGTTTTTCGGCAAAATAAAGAAGCCAGCTATAATTGGAGTTTCCTCCAAAGAGATAATCCGACAACGCTTGTCTTATCTTGAAGCAATATAATTGTAATATATTATTTATTATATAATTGTAATATATTATTTATTATATAATTGTAATATATTATTTATTATATAATTGTAATATATTATTTATTATATAATTGTAATATATTATTTATTATATAATTGTAATATATTATTTATTATATAATTGTAATATATTATTACCTGTATCAGTTAAGGAAGTGCTCTACACTCCATGAAACACATGACTCAGTTTTTCTCCCATCTATCATCATCAGATGAAGTGCTGCACCTGTCTATCAGTGCCCAAGGCAGTGCTTGATCTGTCTATCACTCCCCAAGGCGTGGTAGACAGGAACTTCACCTGTCTATCACTCCCCAAGGCATCTTAGACAGGAACTTCACCTGTCTATCACTCCCCAAGGTGTGGTAGACAAGAACTTCACCTGTCTATCACTCCTTAGAATAGTGTATCACCTGTTAATTACCTCCCAGTGTTTCATCCCGGGAGCTTACCTGCCGGAGTAATGAAGAACACACAAGGGGCTCTCTGGCTGCCCAACCTGTTACGACTGAGACAGAAGATGATGCCGTACTGGTCATGGGCGTGGGTGTGGGCGTGTGGGCGGTACACCAGCGTGCTAGTGGTGCCCCTGGTAGTGAAGCTCCCTGGGGGAAGGTCTTTCACACCTCTGCTACTGTTCACCTTCCACAGGAACTGCACCTGAAGGGAGAAGGAGGGGCAGGAGGCA